TAAAGAAAATAAAATGTAGTATGTTTTAATGCATACTGTACACAGCATAGAATTCACATACCCAAAAAATTATTTCTAAGAAGTTCATCTATTTCTAACAAGGGTTAGAAGCAAATGCTAATCCATGAACATTTCTTTAAGAGCTGGAACAACTATGTTTGCTCTTAACAATACTATTTATTTTATAGTACGCATTGTTTTGTAAAAAATTTGTAGATTGAATCATAGGTTCTATCTCTGTTAACTTTCTCTTATGGATTTCAGTAGATTTTTCTCCTTACTATCAGTATTATTGGCCTTAACTTTCATGTATGCAATGTCTGTACTCCCTGGCCCAGCATTTCTCACAGCTAGGCCCTTCTTACTATTCCAAATGTAGAAGTTCAGTTTGCCTTTCTGGATCCTTTCATTTCATTTGCCCTCTACTCTCCTGTTTGCTTGTGACTGAAATGCTCCAATAGTTGTTGCTTTATTTATTCTCTTCCATGGAAAGCTAAATCTAGATGTCAAAGGAAATGTATTTTCATGTCAGAAAACAAAGATTAGGGGCTGGGATTGTGGCTCAGCAGTAGAGCACTCTCCTAGCACGGGCGGAACCCGGGTTTGATCCTCAGCACCATATAAAAAAAAATAAATAAAGGCATTGTGTTGTGTCTATCTACTCTTAAAAAAAACTATCATTAAAAAAAGAGAGAACAAAAATTAGAGTTGCAATATTTAAATGCATATGGACAATTTTTATAATAAAAATTAGAAATATTGTGTGGCCAGAAACGTGAAAATTTCCAAAAAAGAAAATTTAAAGAGATGATACCAATTAATAGTTTGCTAGTGAAATCCTATAGTGAATAATGAACTTTATCTAAGAATATTGTTATTAAATAAATATTTACCACTGTATATAATATAAAAGCCTCTGACTTTTTATAAGAAAGGAAATAATTAATCTTTTAACATTCTTGTATAACATCTTCAAATAGCTGCTTATATATGGGTAAATGCAATTTTTAAAAAAGAAAGGGTGGAACCTGGAAGAAAATTACATCTACTCAGCAACTACTATGGCTAGGCTGTTTTATCACTTTCTAATTGACACACATAATTGTTTCATCTTGGAACATCATTAAGACCATGCATAGAATGATTTCTTCAAAGATTTCAATTTGAGTATTACAGCATTTCATTTATTCGACTTTCCACAATTTAAATTTACTATGTGTCAATATATCCATATGCAATTTCAATTTGAGAGACTATGTAAGACTGCTCCACAGAGTTAAGAATAAGATGTCAATATTTCTCTTTAGGCATAAATAATGCTAATAATATCATTTAAAAAATATTTTCATTTGCTCTTAAATTTTGTTCAATAAGCACTCTGAATATAATTTTGTAAAAGATTTCCATGAGGAATTCAAATTGAAATTGATGTTATTCTCCATGAAAAAGAACACTGCTGATTTCATAAATAATTATAATGTTATGCCAATATTTCCTAAATTAATAAATGAAAGAATATTCCTACCATTTCATTTGTAGATAGTTTCATCAGTGATTATCTTATCATCACAAGGATGATTTATGATTCCCAAATCAAATACATATCAACAGGAGTAATGAAGACCCAACTGACACCACCATAATTTTCCCTATTTTAAAAAATCAATTGCTGCCTTTGTCTTACAACTGTCTAGTGACTCAGTTTCAACAATATCCAGAATGTATTTATTGTCTAAAAGGATAGTGCAGAACACATTAAAAATATGTTTTGTACATATAAAAAGAATTTTCAGAAGTGCAAATGAATTAAAGAGCATAATTTAGATTTTATCTTCAAGGCAAATGAGTTTTAATTGAGATAATTCATTTAATGTAACTAAGTATAATGCCAGTGTCATAAGTGTAAGCAAAATATATCTGTAATGATGGCAGTTTTAGTTGTTCTTTTGATAAAGGAGAATATCATGCTAATTCAAAGGCACAAATACATATTAATTATTTAAAATACAAAGAATAAAATGAAGATATGATTAAAAATTTATAATTAATTATTGGCACTAAAATAAATAATTTGATTAATAACATCTATTTCTATAAATGTTTAATTCAAATACTAACACATATGAATTTTTCTGAATTAAATAGCCTTTGAAAAAATGACTTTGTAGGTATTAATATTAAAAATAAAGTAAAACATAGACAGTACATTGTTAGATATTAGTATTAATAAAATGGTAATATGTCTTATCCCACAAAAATAATAAATAAAKCTGTAAAAATCACAATTTCTAATTAAATTCATTTGCAAATCATTGTTAAACAAGTTGACACATTAATTTGTGTCAATTTTTAAACAAAATAGTTATTAAAATTCTTATATTACTGTTTCCTTCTATAGGTTGTCATTATTTAAATGATTATAACCTACTTAGAAATATCAATGTTTTCAGTGACATTTTTGCTTCGGGGTTTAAAATAGCATAGGATTCAGATACCTTAACAGTACTTATATTCAGTCAACTCTTAACATTTTATACGAACATTTAAGAGTACTCCAGACAATAAAAATAACATACACACAGTTATATGGATGTATTTAGTCTAGAATAAGAATGAAAAATAAAAATAAGAAATAGGTTATTTCAGTTCTATTCAAATTTTGCAATTTACTACAAGCCATTTCTTATTTGGAAACTTACAATTAATGTAACTCAGAGCATTCCATTGAAATGTCAAAAAAGTAAAAGTTTTTCACAGTAATACCTTGTTTCTGCATGGCATGGATTTCAAGGACAAGGTGTAAGGATCATTCAGACAACTGAAATAGTGCACTTGAAACAGTCTGTTCACAATTATTTCCAAATTATCTATGAATTTCATATAATTTCTCCACGAGTGACAAGAAATTTAACAGCATATATATATATAAAGAAATATGTAAGTCAATTGCTTCACATGGAAAGTCCAAAGAAAAAAACAGAACTTTCAAAATTGAGAAAACACAAAAATATTTTGCTCTAGATTATGATTTCTCTGTTCTTGCAGTGTAGCACAAACATAACAATAGTAAACATGCGGAATTGTTTTCGGTCGTGGAATTCTTTCAGTATCCTTAGTGTAAAATTGAGTGGCCCTATCCATGACAAATCATCATTCATGGCTATTACTTCATAAGCATTTTACTAAGCTTGCCACTTTACACAAACAAACTAATTCAAGTATTTTGACTAGTTTTAGCACATTGGTACAAATAAAACACAGAAAAATAAAACAAAACAAATGTTTAGACAAACATAAACACCAACCATCATTCTGTCAAAAACCACTGGATAATCTCTGTTTCTTCTGAATATGCCAGAATGGGTAGCAAGGAGAGATTCCTGCATAAAAACCTCGCATTTTATGGCAATGCTTTAATATGCAGATGATCATAGTATTCTGCTATCAGCCAGCAAAGTAAGGAACAGTATAAAATTACTTACTTGTCTCTCCTTGGTTGACAGTTTCAAGCACTTTGTAAATAAAAATATTCATGAGTGGAACTAATATTATATTTAATCTTCATGAAATCATCTCTATAAAAGTGACATTCTTAAAGTGGGTCCCTCTGCACTGTTAAAATTTTCTCCAATGTTCTATTGGAATATGTTCTCATATCAGGCAATATTTGAGCTATTCAGTCCATACCTGAAAAACCAAAGGTAACCAATGTGATGGGGTAAAAAAAAACCTTTGGCTGGTTAACTTAAAAGATAATCTAAAACCTGCTCCCAACGGTTATATATCTTCATAGCAATACATTTTTCCTTATATGTAAGTTAAATCATGTTTTAGACTTTTACCTCTGGGAGCTTGCATAGCTTGGAAGTTAATTTGTATTTTTATTCTGGTATAGGCCCTACCAAGTGATATTAGAAAGTTTATGTTGAATAATCCAGGAGTTTTGTCAACCAAAATTGTTTACCAAAATCTTAAAATGAATTCTAGCTACCACATTCAGCATAAAAATACAGTGGCAATTCAATTGTTGATCACTGACACTTTATGGCACATTTAAATGTTAAGTAACTTTTCTTCAACTAACATTTGTTTTTAATTTCCATTACCCAATTTCATTTAATGAAGGACCAAAAACTTTAAGAAAGACAACATATTTATATTGTTTCCATTTCAATTTATTTTATTTGAAGCTGAGGGCAAAAATAAATATTATTTTTACTTGTAATACACTTACTTTTTGTGTAATCCAATATGAATGAATATGGCATATATAAAGACACAGATTCAGGGAGTCTTTCTAATCTAATTTTGCACACAACTAAGATTCTTTCAAGTGGGTAACAATTTTGATCTGATACTTCAATCTATCAAAATCAATGTTGAAAATGTACTGTAATCATTAGTTGAAAGTGTTCTCCAAAGATTCCTTGATTTTTAATATCTGCTAAAGATTACTGGCTCCTTCAAGCCTGGGTTCCCTGAAATTCCCCTGATAAAAAGTGTAACCTCTATTACGTGCCTTCATCTTAAGCTGAAAGCCACTTTATAAATCCATTGGCCCAAAATAAGTTTCATAAACATGCAGGGCTTTCTTATACATTTAGATCAGAAAGCTTTTGTTTTCTTTTGATTTTCATCACACCCTCATGTGCTAGAGAGTTTGAAATATGTTTGTTGGTTATAAGACAAAGTTCTTAAGAAATAGAGCACTTTAGCCATATGAATAATTGCAGTATTTCAATCATAGAATCAAATTGAAACCCAAGAGTTGGTGTCAATCAAGTCTCTGTACTGAAATTCTTAACAAAAAGAACAATCACGACAACAACAACGAAAGGAAATGGACCATGGGCAGGAGTATATGATCATATGTATATGTGTACAAGCTATTCCAAGCTAGAATTTTCCAAAGAAATTAAGGTCAGTGGAATAGTTTTGGTCATAGGGTCACTGCAATCCAAATGCTCTTTTGTAGTGTGCGTCAAGCCTCGGTAATATTGTTATGCTTTGCTGTCATCTTCTTTTGATTGGATGATGTCATTAGAAACTTTGATTTCTATAGCTTCTGGATTTAGGACTTCTTTCCCATTTTCTTCTTTTAATGGTAATTTTCTGGTAGGAAATAGAAATATAAATATAATTTTTAAGGCATTGTTAGAGATATTCCTCAACATTTAAGTGAATGTTATATAAAGAATAAAACAATATTGTCTATTGTAAAAACTGTAATGTGTATTTAAAAAGATGTAGGAAAAAATGTATACATGGATTTAGATGAGTGAAATTATTCAATATAGGATAGCTTAGATTTGATAACTATTTGATACTAAAATATAACTTTTAAATTTTAAAGAAGCTTTTTTATATATTAAGTACATGAGTTATTCTCTCAAACTTTTCAAGTCAAACAGTTAATAGTTGCTGTATGAAACAGCAATAGTACTTGTAACTCAATGCAGATGAACATATTTTAGAACTTTTTTGTTTATTATGTGTTTCTTTGGCCTCTTTTCACTATTACATTTTTCTTATCATTTTTATACCATTTTTGAGAGTTGTTTCTAATAATAACCTAGAAAACAATAAAAGTCTTTGTCTATTAATATTGATAGTTTCACAAATGTTCCTGTGATCATATGCATATTCCAAGTAAGCCCCATGGGTCTCTGCAATCCAAATATTCTTTGCAATTTTGATAAAGCTACTGTAATATTGACTCAAGGTTTCCTTTTTTCCACTGTTCTAGCACTCACTAGTKTATCATTACATCTTTTGCATAAGACTTTTTTTGGGGGTAAAATTTCTTTCCTTGACAAAGTGTTTCTTTCCACATTGAGAGAATTAAATATGTTTACAAATCTTGTTCTAATTCCCCATTATTTTATAGCAGAGTTAACCCTCTATGCTAGCTGGTATTTGTAATTTATTTTATATTTTTGAATAAGGAGGATAAACAATTACTTTATGACAACCAAAGCTTTCACGTGAAAAGTAACCAATCAAAGGTAAGTTATAGGCAAAAAATTAAGATCTATTATTGGGAATGAGGTAGCATCTACTTTGTATTTAATGTGGGCTGTTCTTTTATGTGTGTTATTTAAAGTGCATTCATAATTTATTTTTTTCTCTCTTTTCAATGTGATGAAACTATGAAAAATATGAAATAGTGAAGCAAATAGGCCATTTCTGGCATAAAAATATTTAGAAATTTAGAGCTCAATATTACCATAATGTTTAATATATTGTTTTACATACAGAAGTCTGTATTTATTTTTTTAGTGAATAAATGTATTCAACTAATTGGTGGGTGGTATATTTCTGTATAATTTTTTTTACTTCATAGGTTTACATTAAATATTTTTAAAAGATTACAGCTAATTATATTATTTTTATGTTGAATATTCCTTTTCTATTAATTAAGATCTAGTGTGTGCTAAATTATAGTCTAGTTGCATGTAAAGGCATTTTGTTAAATAGACTGCACACATCAATATAAGTTTGTGTTAATAGGGTTTCGTGAGTGTGTGTGTGTGTGTGTGTGTATGTGTGTCTGTGAGTGTGTGTGATATTTTTCTTCATTAAAAAGACTTCTGATTTCTGAAAGGGAGATTATAAAACCTTGATAATCTCTCAGATAGTTAGCTTCAATTGAGAAAGTAATAAGCTCTAAATGCAATCACTAATATTGGCCTGGACATTTATATTGAAATATGAGCTATAGAATAGTACTTTCTAGTTTTCTACATATTACTACAGGCCATTGAGAGCAAGAAGCAGGGACTTCCATTCCTTCCCTTCCCTTTGTTTCCCTTTCCTTCCCTTCTCTCTCTCTTTCCCTCCCTCCCTCCTTCCTTCCTTTCTCTTTTCTTCTTTCTTTTTCCATACTGGGATGTGACCTAGGGGTGCTTTAACCTTGAGATACATCCTTAGAACTTTTTATTCATTTTGAGACAGAATCTCACTAAATTGCCCAGGCTGGCCTCAAATTTGTGATCTTCCTTCCTCAGCCTCCTGAGTCACTGGGGTTACAGGTTTGCACCACCATGCAGGCAACAAACAGAGGGAATATCTGGGAGAAAAATCAGTTTCTTCAGCTGTGAAAACAAAAAAGCCTATAATTGGAGATAAGAATGCCACATCAGGTTATACTATAAGGGAATGGAAGCTGGTAGGAAAAAAAAAAGAGAGAGTGATACTAATTTGAAGAATCAATGAAATTTAAAAGTCAGTTTTGTGAGTAGCAGAGTATGATAATCTTGCTATTGTTATCAGCAGCTGCATTCAAAAGAATACTACCATTACTTAATAATGCCTCTGATTTTAATCAATGTTATGTGCATGAATAAATGCACACGTTTACCTTTGCAAGTTTAATTAGAATATCTATTATAGTTGTAATGGCGCTATGAGGGTGCAAACATAAATACAGGAGGGTTATAAATTATAACTTATAATGATGGGGTTTAATAGTAGAGTTTCTCTGACAGGGAGGCCAAGTTTTCATGAAAAATATCTCAAGAGGAAATCAACTTTTGATACACACAACCACTTCCATTAAAAAGAAATAATACAGTTCTTTCATAAACAATGATATGTGTAAATACATATAACAAATTATGCAAATGATCCATCATTTTGCTAATATTTGTTCGAAAACAAGTAACTATTTCATCTACATACTCAGGTTCTGTTAGTGGTGTGGTTTCATTTGGCTCATTTACTGGGCTCCCATCTTCATGATTGGTAATTCTTTCATCTTCTGTTCTCATCTCCACTATTGGTTCTTTTGATCCATCTTTCCTGAAAAAAAAAAGAGAGAGAGAAGAAAAGAAAAAGATCTTGACATATGAATGTAAAAATAGATGCAAGATAGAACACAGTTTAAAACCTGTACTTAATGCTACCTTCTTTGAATAAATCCAAAATGTTTGGGGTCAGAATACCAGCGAGATTTTTTTTCCATCTGAATTCATTTCATCAGATATTTTCATGCAGAATAAATTGCAATCGCTATTCACCCAAAAATTGTGGAGGTTTTTGCAGAAGTATTTTATATTTTAAAATCTATTACACAATAACTTTTGGAGATAAATGTATTTCTTAAATAAGATTTATAACATGAAGCATTTCTCCCCCAAACATATTTTCCAATATAAAAATATTTTTAAATGTTTAAGGAATATTGATTAATATTTTAAATATATCATCAGAAATATTGCTTATATTTTAAAATATGGAAGATTAAACATGTATTATACACTTCATTTTTAAAATATCTTTATTAATTTATATGAAAGATTTTAAATATGTGATCAATGACTTTTGTTATATTCATATTTTTCAAGATGATAATTTTTAAATAATCATTACATGATGTATATATAGAGAAAGATGTGTTTTATTATTCAAATATTAATCATATTTTTTAAATGAGTGGCATTTTTGCTAGGAGCCACAGCAAAAGTATTGATACATGGTACCTTTGGTTTAGGTGACTGCCAGCTAGCCATTGAGATGATATGATTATGTTAAGCTTTACATTCATATGGTAATTGGACTCCTGCTGTTCACCTGGGCCTGTTACGGGACTCAGGTTACTCATGTCACTCATGTAATGGGAGAGTTCCCATTGGTTGGGGAAGGATAGTAGGAGGGAACTTCCTGGGGGAGGTCCGGGTGCCGGTTCCGGTGACACACGTGGGTGCACCGGCTTGCTAGCAGGACTCACACTGGACGCTGGCGGCTTTTTTAAATAAAGCTTTGTTCCCCGCTTGAACGGTTCGTGTTTCTGTGCCCAGCTGGGTTGCGGTGGTGGCTCGTGCTTCTGTGCACAGCCGGGTTGCGGCACATTTTTAATAATTGGTGGAAACTAGAAAACTTACTGCCTCAAAAATGAACAAAAGAAAGGACAAAAAGGAAGTTATTTGGTGATTTTATAGGGAATTTCAACTACTTAGGACACAGTCTTATTACACAAATAATTATGATGTTACATAATGCAGTTAATTGAAAATTTACATCCATACCTGTATTCATAATCACCCAAATTTGAAAACAAAAAATTCTCCTAATAAGTCAATAAATAAATAAACTGATTAACATCTATATTTGGATATTAATCGTATAAATAAATTCACTATAACCTAAGCCAGTTTGAAAAGGCTATGTAAATATGTCTTAGCAACTATATGTCATTCTGGAAAAAGTAGAATATAGGGCCAATAATATGGTCAGTGGCTATCAGGGCTCAAGGGAAGGAAGAAATGAAAATATAAATCACAGGAAACATTAAGGGTAGCTTAAAATAATCTCTTTAATACTGTAATGATGGACAAATGACATTGAAATGAATGCTTAAAAACCATAGTAGATTACAAACAAAACAGAAAACAAACGGAAAAGCAACAATGACCCAAAGATCAACAGGCTACACAAATGCTGAGATTTTCATGATGATAAAATACATTTAATCAGTGGCAGGTTTGATATTGTTGCTCTAGTCTGGGCATGGCACATACACATGCATTGGAATGCAAAGTATAGGCAGAATAGGCATTGGTGAAAATTTTTTAAAAATCTAGATGTTAGTAACAAAGAAACTTATGATTTTTTTTTTCAGTGTTGGGGATAAAAACCCAGGTTTTTACACATGCTAGGCAAGCCATCCACCAGTCATCTGTATCTGAAGTCTTTTTTTTTTTTTTTTAATTAAGAAGCAGGGTTGTACTAATTTGTTCAAGCTGGCTTTGAACTTGTGATCCTACTGCCTTAGCTTGCTGAGTAGCTGAGATTGTAGATATTTATCACCACACACTGTTAAAAACTTTCCACTTCTTAAAATCAAATGCCTGTGGGAAGTGATGAGTGCATGTTAACCACATTGTCTGACCAGGGGATTCAAGTAAATAAAATCTAGCACAATAATGAAGATTACTGAAGAGCTCATTCCCATGAGATATAAATTTTATTTTGTTCTTCATTCTGTGTCCATGATTTTCTGGCTAGTATTTAGGTAGCGCTGGCCTCACTGAATCAGCTAGGAAGTATTTTATTTGCTTCTAAGACAGACTGTGGAGGACTAATGCAATTTCTTCCTAAAGTGTTTTGTACAATTTACTGTAAAGCATTTGGGCTTGGAATTTTCTGTTTATAAATGTTATTAATTATAGTTTAAATACATTCACTAGATATGGGTTAATTCAGATATTCTATTCTTTGTTTTCATAAGGAATTTATGTATTTAATTGAGGTTATACATATGTAGTAATCAAGTTGTTTACCTATTTCTTCATTATCCTATCAATCATTGTGTACTGTTTTGTGGATGTTCTCTGGCTTATTTATGATATAAATTTGTGTCCTATCTTTATCTTGTTTTGACTGAGTTACCCTAAGTAGGAGCTCAGCAATTCTATTGATCTTTTCAAAGAACTACATTTTAGTTTTACTGTTTCTGTGATTTCATCTTTCAAATTCATTTATTTGTGCTATAATCTTTGTGATTTGTTTTCTTCTGCTTACTCTATTAATTTGCTCTTCTTTCCAATTATTTAGAAATTTAATTAATTCATTTTAGATTTTTTTAAATTTTCTAATATGTGAATCAATAATATAGATTTCTTTCTAATGATTACTTTTATCTATTTCACAGATTGTGATAAGTCCTGATTCATTTTCATTTACATCAAAATAATTCTAAATTATTTATTTATTTGGAAGTATGATGTTGAATATTGAAGCACATGAGGTATTTTTAGCTATCTTTCTTTTATTGATCTATAGCTTAATTCCATTATGGTCTCTAAGCAAATATTTTGTGATTTCTATTTTAAATTGTTTAAGGTGTGTCTTGTGGTTCAACACAAAAGCTGAGATTTTCATGATTAAAAATAAGTTAATGTAAATTTAACTTTTAATCAGTGGCAGGTTTGATATTGTTGCTCTATTCTGGCATGGCACATACACAAGCATAGGAATGCAAAGAACAGGTGTTGGTAAAAATTAAAGAAAATCTAGATGATAGTAACAAAGAACCTTTTGATCAACAATAGCATATGATAACACATTGTGTGCTGGCATTATGAGGTTATTTTGTCACTAGGTTATATGAATGTTTCAGTTCTAACATAATTTTATTGGACTACCATCTTATAGTCTGTCACTGATTGAAATATCATTACACAGTGTGCATTAGTATATTTGGCTATTGATTTTTATCTACTACACTTTTAATGATCTATTTCGACCACTGGTGTTTAAACAGATAATTGATGCAGTTGAATTAATACCTACTTTATTTTCTACCATTTTTCTATATCTTGCCCTTCCTCTTTATGACTATTTTTGTTTTTTATTAAATTTATGTCTTTTATAGTTCAAATTGATCATTTTATATAATTGTTTTCTCTAATTTCTGAGCATATTAGTTGTATCTCCTGTTTTTCTTCTTTTGTTTTTACTTTTTAAAATTGTTGCTCTAGAGTTTACAAATAAGACAACTCTGCTCTCACATAACACTACACTGCCTCATGGGTAGTAGAAAAATACTTTATAATGGTAAGTTACTCTTCATTCTTCCCTTCCATCCTTTGTATCATTGTCACCATTCATTTCACATGTAAATATATTACATGAATATAAACTTAATGAAATACAATATTCTAACTAGTATCAGTTAGTTCAATTATGAAAAGGAAAAAGTTAAATTTACATTAACTTATTTCTTCTCTGATGCTCTTCCTTTCTTTATGCGGATTTGTATTTGTGACTGATATCATTTTCCTTTTTTCTAAATAACTTTTCTTACATTTTTTACAAAGGCCTTCCACTGGCATTTTTGTTTATATGACAGAGTCTTTATGTTTTCTTTATTTTGAAAGGGTAATTTACCAAAGCAGAGAATTCTAGATTGATGAAGGATTTTGTCCTTTGAGATATCTTATAGCTCAGAAATTCTTTTTTCAGCTCTGTCTAGCCTACTAATAAGCCCATCAAAACCAATTTTTTTCATTACTGTTTTTTTTTACTTTAGTACTTTTTGATTCTTTCTTAGATCCTTTCTTTTCTTCTACTGCCGATCTTTAGATACATGTTGTTTACTTTATCCATTAGAGTTCTTAACATCTGAATCATAATTGTTTTTAAATTCTCAGTCTGTTATTTCTAGCATCCCAACCATTTATGATGTATGCTGTATCTCTTCAGACTGTACCATTTGCCTTTTAATATGCCTTATAATTTTACCTAGTCATCCATGATGTAATGATTAAAAGTAACTATTATAAACTAGCCTTTAATAATGCAATCCTGGAAAGTGTGGAAAGCGATTATAGTTTTATGATAAGATGTCTGTCTCTAGTGAGTGCTTCTCCAGCTTTCATCCCATTTAGTGGAACAAGATGGTCATAGATAGTCAGAATTAAGTATTTCCTTTCCCCCAGATTGAAGTCTATAGAGTAAGATGAAATTGTTTTCTTGTCCCTCTATTCAGTTAAGTTCAAATAAACTTCAAGAGATTAGGCTCTGTTTAAATAGTTTCTTCTGAATAAAGATATATTTAAGAACAGAATGCTTGTTGTATTTCAAAATACTTAAAATACCTGTCTCTCCAGAAATATGAAAGGATTTTTCACTATTACTTATTGTGGCAATATGGTTAAGCTCCTAGAGATAACATTTTTAAAATTTTGAGAGTCCATATAACTGGCTCCTCCCCTGGAGTTTTTATCTTTCAGATTGGTCCATACTGAGTCTACAGAAATTTATCAATTACATTTTATGTTTTTTTACCACCACAGTGG